TACAGAAGTAAGGAAATAAAAAAAAGATTAGGGCAGAAGTAAGTAAACTAAAGAATAGAAAAGCAATACAGCACATCAGTGAAATCAGTAGCTTTAAAAAAAAAAAAAAATCGCGAAATTGACCAAGTTTTAACTAGACCAAGAAAAAAGAAGGTGCAGATAACTAAAATCAGAAATCAAAGTAAGGACATTTCTATTGATCTTACAGAAATAAAAAGGATGGTAAGACAATACAATGAAAATAAATACAATTGAAAAATTAGATAAATTGCATGGAATAAATAACTCTAGAAATATGAAAATTACTGACTTAATAAGAAATAGAAAATTCAAATAGATGATAATCCATAATAAAAAAAGCCTCCCAGCAAAGAAAAGCCAGGGCTATGGCTTCAGCAGTGAGTTTTTATTTTATTAAAAAGATTCCTTCCTTCCTTCCTTACTTTATATGTCTTCCTTTCTTCCTTCCTTCCTTCCTTCCTTCCTTCCTTCCTTCCTTCCTTCCTTCCTTCCTTCCTTCCTTTCTTTACATTTGTTGTTATTATTATTTAATTTGACCAGAGAAAAACAGACAGAGGGGGCCAGCAGTTAGCGTAATGGCTATGTCGCTGGACTCCCATGTAGTAGACCACGGTTTGAGTCTCGGACCCGGTGGCTTAAACTCACACCAGGCATGTGTGCATGCATGCCCAAGATCCCAAGAGGAGAATGGAGGAGAAGGGATTGCGGTGTGGCCATCCCCCCTGGGGGGTGATTTCTCGCTTTCTGTCTCTCTGTCTCTGTCTGTCAGGCGAGCACATGCGCCCTATAGCAAAAATCTCCCAAAAAAAGGGGGGGGGGAGAAAACCAGACAGAGAAAGGGAAAATGTGAGAAAGGAAGCCTCCTGGTCCAGGACTTGAACTGTGGTCGGCCATGTGGGAATCAAGAGCCCCTACCAGCCCCAATTTTTTTTTAAAGAGATTTTTGCTGTATGTGCTCACTGGAGAGAGAGAAAGACACAGACCAAGTGAGAAATCACCCCCAGTGTGGATGGCCACGCCACACTCCTGTCTCCTTTATTTTCCTCTAAGGACTTTGGGCACACAAGCACATGCTCCTGACTTGAATTTCAAGCTGCTGGGTCTGAGACCTGAACTGCAGTTGATCATGTGGGAGTCTAACTCCTATCCACTATACCACCTGCTGGCCCCCAGCAGTGAATTCTTCCAAATAGTTAAAGGAGCGTTAGTCTTTTCCAAACTCTTTTAAGAAATTGGAAAGGTAGGAATAACTCTTAATTCATTCTGTGAGGCCATCATTACCCAGACAAAGACACTATAAGAAAAATTAACTACGTGGCCAGCAGGTGGCATGTGGTTAGACTCCCACATAGCTGACCATGGTCTGAGTCCTGGCCCTGGCAGTTTGAAACTCATGCTGGCCTTGTGTGTGCATGCTCAAAACCCCAGGAGGAGAATGGAGAAGGGATTGTGGAGTGGCCATCTCCTTGGGTGGTGGGTGATTTCTCACTTTCTCTTTCCAGTGAATGCGTGTGCCCTATGGCAAAAAAAAAAAAAAAAAAAAAATTTCAAACAAACCCCAAATAAGCCAACAGCCAGTTGCTGTGGCATGCATAGTACGTATACTTTGGAGGCTAGGTTTGGCTTATTGACCAACTTGAATGCACCTAGTGTAGTTGCACGTGCGTGTAATCCTAGCTAGTTGGGTGACTGGGGCAGGAGTGTGACAACAAATAGGACCCTATCATCTGGTTATCAATGGAGTGGCAGTAAAATACTGTGCTCTGCATGGGATGTGGCTGGCTTCAGTTTAGAAACCTCTGAGTACACTGGGCAGGTGCTATCCCACGATCTGGGCTGGCTAAAGGCTGGAAGTAGATAGGTATCTGGACCCTGTTGGGATGCTTTCTCATGAAAGAAATAAACAAACTTAAAAAAATACCCATCTGAGGCCAGCAGGTGGTGTAGTTATGTCACTAGACTCCCACATGGCTGACTGCAGTTTGTGTCTCCAACTCAGTGGCTTGAAAATCACACTTGGGCGTGTGTGCGTGCATGCCTAAGATCCCAGAAGGAGAATGGAGGAGAAGGCATTGTGGCCTGGCCGTCTCCCCTGGGGGGTGATTTTAACTTTGACTGTCTCTATCTCTCTTTGGTGAGTGCATGTGCCTTCAGGTAAAAACCTCTTTAAAAAAATAATATCCACCTATCTGTCTTATAAAAGGTGGGGAAGGGGCTATAGACCAGTATCTGTATGACTGTAGAAGTAAAAATCCTTAACAAAACGCCATCAGACCAAATCCAAAGCATATTAAAAATAATATAAACCCAGGTTAAATGGAATTTATCCCAGGAATGCAAGGGTTGACCCACATAAGAATAATATAAGTGTAATATACCATATTAGAATGATGGGAAAACCTGTATCATAATCTCAGTTGATGCAGAAAAAGCATTTGACAAAATTCAACAACCTTTTATGATAAAAGTGATACTCAAGGGGCTGGCAGGTGGTATGCTTGTTAAGGGTGCTGGACTCCCACATGGCCATCTGTGGTTTGAGTCTCGGACCTGGCGGCTTGTTTTCTCGCTTTCCCTCTCTTTCTCTCACTCTGTCCCTCTCTGGTCAAACTAAAATAAACAAATAAATATAATAAACAAATAAAGTTAGGTAGTTAGTTAATTAAAAAAAATACTCAACTAACTAGGAATAAGAAGGAACTGCCTCAGCACAAAAAAGGTCTTTTGTTGAAAGACCTACAACCAATAGCACACTCGGGTGAGAGACTAAAAGCTTTCCCCAGCACCAGGAAGAAGACACAGATGCCCACTGTTACCAGGGCCATTCATTATGCACTGAAAGTTCTCGCCAGAGCCTTTATATACGAAAAAGAAATACAGGACATCCAAAGTGGAAAGGAAGAAGCAGATTTGGGAAGATCAGTGAAGGCTGTGAGGAAATGCTCTAGGCATTTCCCAGGATTGTACTGATTTGTGAATTTGGATTAAGGAAGAAACTCATCCTGATTTATGTTGAATATCATTTCTCAAGTTAGCCCAGGAATGTGTTCAGTTCTCCTCAGGAGTTAATTTGTGATTAAATGTTTTTTTGAATTCTGCTATGGCACCTGGTTCCCATAGTCATGTAGTCTTATACTTTATTTATTTTTGTTTGTTTATTTATTTATTTTTAGAATTTATTTATTTTTTATTTTTATTTTTGGCTATAGAGCACATATGTTTGCCTGAGAAAGAGAGAGAGAAAGTGAGAAATCACCCCTGAGGGGAGATGGCCATGCCCAAATCCCCTCTTCTCCAGTCTCCTCTCAGGATTTTGGGCATGTATACACACATGCTTGGCATGAGTTTCAAGCCACTGGGTCTGGGACTTGAACTGTGTTTAGCCATGTGGGAGTCCAGTGTCTTAACCACCATGCCACCTGCTGGGCCCCAGTCATGTAGTCTTAATGAGAGAGTGGATTGGATTCAGCAGTTGCCATTATTCTTTTGTGATACTTTTTCTGTTTGTCTTTTGGTTGACTTAAAATTCATCTTTCTTTGAGAACTGTTTTAGTTCTTCATTTCATGCTTATTCAGAAATTTTCTGTTGCTCTGGGACCAGCAGGTGGCATAATGGTTATGTTGCTAGACTCCCATATAGTCAACCACGGTCCAAGTCCCAGATCTGGCAGCTTAAATTTATGCCAGGAGTGTGTGTACCCAGGACCCGAGGGAGAATGGAGGAAAAGGGATTGCGGTGTGGCCATCCCTTCTGGGTGTGTGTTTGTGTGTGTGTGTGCTTTCTGTCTCTGTCTCTCTGATGAGAGCACATGCCCTATAGCAAAAACCTCTCCAAAAAATTCTTTTTTCTATTGATCTTTCACTTGAGTCAGAGTTTGATATGCAAACTTTTTCACACCTTCTTTTCTCTGGGGATTTCGTGAGCATTACTCCATTATCTTCCAGCCCTAAATGTTGCTGTGGTTGAGTAGAGCCAGTCCTTTTCCTTTTCTAGATGGACCGTGTTTTTTGCCTGAATAGTCAAAAGGTTTGTTTTTCTTCTTTGATGCCCAGTAAATCTATTGGGGTGTGTCATTGTACTGATCATTCTGTCAGTTCGTTCTAAGACAGGATAGGACTTTGGATACTGGCTCAGGAAATTCTGTGAATATATTTTAAAAGACATGTTTCTACATTTATTTGTTTTTGTTTGTTTGTTTAGTTTATTTCTTCCATGAGGCAGAGAAAGAAACAAACAGAACTCCCAGCAGGGTCATGATGTCTTAGCCTACTCTCAGCCCCGACCAGCCTCCACCAGCCCCAAATCATGGGCATGCCCATGCCTGGTGCACTCAGACACATTTTCAGCTGCAAACCTGGAACTTTCTCTTGCGGGTCAGCCTTGCAGAGTGTTGTGTCCTGCTTTTGATTATTAAAAAACAAAAAAACAACAAAAAAAACAACTTAGGAATCTTTTATATAATACCTTTTTCAAAAGAGTGGAATGATTTTTACAAAAGTTTTTAATGTTGGGAACCAGCAGTTAGCGTAATGGCTATGTCGCTGGACTCCCATGTAGTCGACTGCTGTTCGCGTCCTGGACCCGGTGGCTTAAAACTCACGCCGGGTGCGTGTGCGTGCGTGCCCAAGATCCCGAGAGGAGAATGGAGGAGAAGGGATTGCGGCGTGACCATCCCCCCAGGGGGTGATTTCTCGCTTTCTGTCTCTCTGTCTTTCTCTGTCTGTCTGGCGAGCGCACGCGCCGTATAGCGAAAACCTCTCCAAAAATAAAAAGTTTTTAATGTTTATTTTCTATTTGGAGAACTGTAATGTTTACTTTGTCATTTAAAAAAATAAAATAATGGGAAAGTTATTCTTTTATGTATTATGGGTAAAGTGTCAGTTTTTAAGTTAATATTCCATACATCTGGTCAGATAATTTCAGAAGATTGGTTTTCCTTTCCTTATATTCACTTTTAAATTTTTATTTTTTCTGTTAGGTGGAGTCCAAACAGTGTATCAGCTGAGTAATGATATTGATGTTGGTCGTTTCCAAATATTACTGGGTTGTTTTACCAGCACTTTTGAAGAAGTAAAGATTTTAGCATTTGATCTTCTGATGAAGTTATCGAAAACAGCTGTGCAATTTCAGGTATTTAGACTTTTCTTATGTAAATGTAAATATACATGCATGGAAACTTTCCACTGTAGCAGCAAATAAAGCTAGCTGAGGATTATCCAGTCTGCCTTCTTAGTTTTTTTTTTTTAATTCATTTTCTGTAGGGCATGTGTGTATGTGGGGGTGGGGAGAAAGTGACAAAGCACTCCCTAAGTGGGATGGCTATGCCACAATCTCTTCTCCTTTATTCTCCTCTTGAGATATTTTGGGTATCCATACATGCATGCATGCCTCCAGCCTCTGGGTCAGGTCTGGAACTTGACTATACATTTAGCCATGTGGAATCTAGCCACCCAACCACCATACCACTGGCTGGCCCCTGACTGCTTATGCCTTTGAACTGTTTCTTTTCAGTTATCATAATATCTTTCTGCTATTTCAAATTGGTGGGAAAGGAGGAAATATAAAAGAACATACAGTCCAAATGTGAAAGCTTTGGGTTTTTTGGTTTGCGTTTGTTGTTTTGATTTAAAAAAAGAAGGTGTGGGCCAGCTGTGGCATGGTGTTTAAGGTAGCTGGATCCCAAATGGCCAACTCTGGGCTCACGGCCAGTCTCTGACCCAGTGGCTGAAAAGTGCACTGGGTGCAAATGCATGCCAACCCAAAATCCCAAAAAGGAGGAGCAGAGATTGTGGTGTGACCATCCCCCCATGGGAAGTGTTTTCTTATCCCTACCCCCTCTGGAGAGTGCAGGCATCCTCTGGCAAAAACAAAACAAAACAAAAGGTGTAAGAGGCAGTGGACTTTATTTGTACAAGATCATTGGTAGAACTGTGGTCTCCCCAGTTCCTTTGTACATGTGATACTCGATCAAAGCACATTACTTACAGTAACTTGAGTTTTTTGAGATAATCTCCCTGCTCACGTAGACAGGGAAGCTGAGTGTAAATGAAGTAGTCAACATGTTTCTAGTCTTCCAACAAGCAATAGCTAAACCGAGACTGAAACTCAAGAGTACTTGAGGTTAACAAGGTCTCTCCCTAGGCACTCTACCCTGTTCCCAGCCCCTGCTTTCCTTCTGACATCTTGCTCTTTCCCCCTTAGGGTAGTAATCAAAGGTGGGCTCAGGAGTAAGGGCAGAGCATGGAGAGGCTCTGTAGGACTCCCTAGCCCAGGCTCTCAGCTCTGCCCTCGAAGCTGGGGCTGGTGGGTCACCAGCAGAGTACTGACTAGTGCTTGGCTGTGGCTTTCGATTAGAACTCTGTAGAAGCCCAGAGTGGCTGCTACAACTGACCATGATCTGGGCTTCAGCTGTTAGGAGCTGGAGTGTGACGTCTGTGGTTGCCCTGGGATTCTGAAGGAACATGTACCAGAGAACAATGTGTTTCTGTAGCTTCTGTCCATAGTTGGGATTGTAAGGTCTCAGAGCATCTTTTCTGACCCTTGTCTGGATGGGGAGTTGCTCTCTGGCATCTGCCTGTGCATGTGGCCTTTCAGGTGCCGTAGAGTGCTCAGGCTGAACTTTTGTACGATGTAGAGTTTTTAAAGAAGAGTGTTTTTCTTCCTTTCTCCATCTACCTCCCTTCCCCTCAGCATTCATCACTCATGGACTTGTAGGATGTATATGTGTATGTATGTATGTATGTATGTGTATATATATATATATATATATATGCCTTATTCCGAGCAAATATTTTGTGTACTTGGAGTGGAGAAGATATATTATGACATATACATAGAAGACCTGTTTTTTACATAAACTACAAAGGGCCCTTAAGGGGCCTCTTCATCTCTTATTTGTTAAAACATTTGCCTGGTGGATAGATACTAACTGTAGAATTCAGAGAATTTAGTACCACGCATGACTTGGTGTAGGATTTTAGTTTTACTATCTGGTATGGATTGCATATTAGTAAAATGGCTATAGGAATAGAATTTTAAAATGTTTTATAATATTAATTACATACTATGTTTCCAAAGTCTTTCTTAGTTATACTCTGTATAATACACAACTTGCATGCCTAACCAAGATCCTGAGAGGAGAATGGAGGAGAAGGGATTGTGGTGTGGCCATCCCCCATGGGGAATGATTTCTTGCTTCTTTCTCTCTGTCTGTCTCTTTCTGGCAAGCACACGTGCCCTACAGTGAACACCTCTCAAAAAAAACAATAATAGAGCATTTTTGGAATGCTGACCTAACCTCTTCAAGGTTATTTTGGATACACAGATAGGTAACTTCTCTCCTAGTTTATCACCGTTCTTCCTGTGGAACTATGAATCTTAGGGATATATTAAATTTATAGTATATTTTGATCAACCTAAGATGGTGGAATGAAGATATTTTAGACTTCAGAGACATTTATTATATTCTTAATAATTGATTAGTAAAGCAGTCGGTTATAAAACAAGGTTTACATATTTAATAGATTGTTTCTTTCATTTTTCAGAGGATATATGCACTTATGAGGCAGAGAGAGAAAGCGAAAAAGTCCTCCTCCCTACCCACACTCAAGAATGGTCACATTGCAATTTTTCTCCTCTCTCTCTCCCTTTTATGGGAATTCTGGGCACATACACATATGCCTGCATTTTTTTTGAGGGGGGGGAGATTTTTGCTATAGGGCGTGTGTGCTCACCAGAAAGACAGAGACAGAGAGACAGAATATGAGAAATCCCTCCTCAGGGGGGATGGCCATGCTGCAATTCCTTCTCCTCCATTCCCCTCTCGGGGTCTTGGGCACGCATGCATATGCAACTGGCATGTGGTTTGGGCCCAGGACTCGAACCACAGTCAACTACATGGGAGTCCAGCGACATAGCCATTACACCAACCGCTGGTTTTAGCCTGGCATGTTTTTCAAGCCGCCAGCTCTGGGACTTGAACTGTGCTGTCAGCTATGTGGGATCTATGTGACTTAATCACCATGCCACTGGCTGGCCTGGCAAAGAATTTAAACTGATACCTGAATCAGTACATTCGATATCTGTTATTTTGAAATTACGAGACAGTAAATATTAGTGTACCTGTAGTCAGTCTTAAAATTAAGTTTATTGTGATTTCTTTCCTTGTATTAAACAGGAATAATTCTAGTAGAGTCAGAATATCATTGAGCAACCTATCCCTGACTTTTGGGGCAGTACATATGCAACTTGTCAACAAGTTAGGACTAAGCTTCAAGTCTCCCATTGTCAGCTGGGTGCCTTCCCATGACCGTTAGAGGGAACTGTCCTTTGTTCTGTCTTCTCTAGGACAGGCTGTGTGAGTGCATATTTATGTGAGTTACAAGTTTGGGAGCTGTGATGTACAATTTTTGAGATCTGCTCACTTTATCTGCCACATATATATGTGGAGGAAACAGGGAAGCCTCCTGGTGGATTCGTATTTTTCTTCAGTGAAGTGACTGTGTGAGAAAGGGGAAGGTAGAAGGGCAAGAGTATGACACCAGGTAAAATACAGACCTTGAGAGACTAAAGAACTCTGGTCCGTATGGAAACAGTGACAATGGGCCCAGCCTTTATGGCATAGTGCTGGAAGCCATATGGCCCGTCCTGGGTTTGGATCCCCAGTTGACCAGAAACACTGACGGAGGGGAATTGCAGCTTGATGAGACCCTGTTGAGAGTATCTTTCTCTCTCTGGTGCATGTGTGCTCTTTTATGAAAGAAAGAAATATATAACAAGAAATAATAAAGATGGGCCAAAAGTAGTCATATTAGAATTTCTTTCTTTCTTTTTTTTATGATCAGTTATTTAGCTAGGTTCTTGGCAAAAAATTTAGAACACCAATTTTTTTTTTTTTTTTTGGAGAGATTTTCACTGTAGGGTGCGTGAGCTCTCCAGACAGACAGAGAGAGACATAGAGACAGAAAGCGAGAAATCACCCCCCAGAGGGGATGGTCACGCCGCAATCCCTTCTCCATTCTCCTCTTGGGATCTTGGGCACGCACGCACACACGCCCGGCGTGAGTTTTAAGCCACCGGGTCCGGGACACGAACCGCGGTCGACTACGTGGGAGTCCAGCGACATAGCCATTACGCTAACTGCTGGTTCCCTAGAACACCAATTTTTGAGGATAAACTCCATTTGTAAAGGCAAACACGGATCGCAGGTAACCCTGGAGCTGAGGAACAGCTTTGATTTTTGGTAAAATTTATGAGTCCACAGCTTTCTGATCAATCTTGTGCTGCTCTGAAATCTCGTATTTCTCCTTCTCTGTGTTGAAGAGCTCACCTTCCTGGTGTCTGGGCTTCTGCAGTTTCTTTTTCTTGAAGTAAGCATCGGTGAGGTGCTTTGAGATTTTTACTTTGCTAATATCAATTTTGAGGTGGCAATGACAAATTTCTGGCGTGTTCAACACAGTGGAACTCGATTGAGAACCAGAGGGCCAGTCACAAGTAGCAAGCCACTGCTCAGCTGCTTCAGGGAAACCACTCTCTTGCCTCTGTGGCATCCAGTGAGGATGATCAGGATGGTCCCCAGGAGTGATGCTGGCTCGCAGCTTTCTTACATGCTGACTGAATGTTTTGCCGTGGCTCAACAGCTTTCGTGGTACATCTTCAGTAGGAAAATACCTAGGCTTTTGTGCAGTTTAACCACCCGGTACCACCATTCTTGTCTCCACCAACTGGTTTTGTGACAGTCGCAAAAACCTTTTTGTTTTCGATCCTGGATTTAGTGGCCGAGTATTTCCTCTTGACATGGCCTTCCTGGAATACATGCAGACCAGGAATATCTGCCGATACCCCAGACTAGGACGGGGTTTTTGGCTGCAATGGAACTTCCTCTTCTTGGGCTTTTTAGCCTTGGGATCACCCTTTTTAACCTTGCCACTGGCATCAGCCTTTTTGGTTTCAAGTTTCTTCTCCTTAATATCCTGTTTTGTAGCTTTTTCACCTGCCATCTTGTATGGTGGGAAAGAGCAGAATTTCTATAGGAAAAAGTGTTTTTGCTGGAAAAAAAAGGCACTTTTTTTTTTTGAGAGTTTTTTTTTTCTTTTTTTGGAGAGTTTTTTCTTTTCTTTTCTTTTTTTTTGTTATAGGGCGCATGCACTCGCCAGACAGAGAGAGAGAGAGAGAGACAGAAAGCGAGAAATCACCCCCCGGGGGGGATGGCCATGCTGCAGTCCCTTCTCTATTCTCCTCTTGGGATCTTGGGCACGCACGCACACGTGCCCGGCATGAGTTTAAGCCACCGGGTTTGGGACTCGAACCACAATCGACTACGTGGGAGTCCAGCAACATAGCCATTACGCTAACTGCTGGTCCCCTTGGAGAGGTTTTTGCTATAGGGCGCATGCACTCACCAGAAAGACAGAGATAGACAGAGAGATAGAAAGCAAGAAATCATCCCCAGAGCAGATGGCCACGCCACAATCTCTTCTCCTCCATTTTCCTCTTGGGATCTTGTGCACGCACACACATGTGCCCAGCATGAATTTAAGCTACTGGGTCCAGGACTCACACTGTGGTTGGCTACAAGGGAGTTCAGCGACATAGCCATTATGCTAACTTCTGTTCCCAAGAGGCACTTTTTTAAAAAATAATTTTATTTTATTTGTTTATTTATTCATTTGCTTATTTCAATTTGACCAGAGAGGGACAGAGTGAGAGAAAAAAAGAGAGAAAGTGAGAAAGCCAGCTGCCAGGTCCGCCAAGTCCGGGATAAACTGCAGGGTCAGCCATGTGGGAATTCCAGAGCCTTTAACTACTATGCCACCTGTTGGGCCTGAAAGAGGCACTTAAAAAATAAAAGTTTATCAGTGTTGGTTTTTCAGTTGAAATTATCTTCAAGTCGTTGGTGCACTGAGCAATAATTGTTAGTTACTGTGATAAAAAAAAAACAAAAGCACTATCTTATATTCAGAGAGAAAGGAAATTAACATGCACATTGAGTTGTGTTATATGCCATGCAGTGGGTGTGGTTTTTGGAGAGATTTTTGCTATAGAGTGTGTGTGTGTTTGCCAGAAAGATAGAGAGACAGAAAGTGAGAAATCACCCCATGGGAGGGATGGACAGTCCACAGTCTCTTCTCCTTTATTCTCCTCTTGCCATCTTGGGTATACACGGACACATGCCTTTTGAAGCCTCTAGATCTTGGACTTGAACTGTGTTCAACTGTGTGGGAGTCCAGTGACATAACCATTGTGCCGTCGGCTGGCCCTGGCAAGCTGTGTTTTTAATTGTGTATCACTCCTCGAAATCTCGCAGCGATGGTCACTTAGTCTGTGCTCTGTTCTAGGACTCGGAGAAACCGCAGAGCTTATTCCAGGCAGCGCTGGAGCTTAGCACAAGCACCAAGCCGTATGACTGTGTCACAGCTTCCTACCTGCTGACCTTCCTAATCTGGCGGGTTGCTCTGCCAGCATCCCTGTGTGCCTCCTTACCTCCACAGGTCGCATGTGGAGGTGGAGGAACATCTGCGGCTGTGGTAGAAAGGAACACACTGATGGGTTTGTATCAAGTAAACGACCTCTTGCTTTTATTTATTGAACCATTATCTTACTCTCTCACTGTTCATTTGGTTGGACTATCTAATGGTTAAGCATTTACTTTGTGGCTTTTTTATTTAAGAATTTGCCAGCGTAATAGTTTACTGGCACATAGAAGCACTATGAGTTCCTTTTATGCAAACGAATATTTACTCAGCTCTAGCATTTCTTTCTTTCTTTTTTTTTTTTTTTTTTTGAGAGGTTTTTGCCATAGGGCGTGTGCGCTCGCCAGATAGACCGAGACAGAGAGACAGAAAGCAAGAAATCTCCCCCAGGGGGGATGTCCACGCTGCCGCAATCCCCTCTCCTCCATTCTCCTCTTGGGATCTTGGGCACACACGCACACGTGCCCGGCGTGAGTTTTAAGCCACCAGGTCTGGGACGCAAACCGCAGTCGACTACGTGGGAGTCCAGCGACATAGCCATTACGCTAACTGCTGGTCCCTGCTCTAGCATTTATTTCTAAACAGAAGATTCATGTTAAATAAGTAGATTTACAACTGTATATTAATAAACTTTTTAAAAGAGGATGACCTTTTTCTCCACTAAAAGTGTACTTTTTTCCTTACAGAAATTTTACTGTGAATGTACACAGGTCATTTTTGTTATTTCCATATAGAGTTGAGTCCCTTTATTTTTTTGGAGTTTATATTTTAATATCAATAATTGGCTGTCATATTCTCTCCTTTTATTCTTCCCATATAGCTGGTTCTGAAACTTTGAGTCTAAGATGGTTAGATGTAGTGATTTTTCAACAGTTATTTGTTGGGGAATCACATACTTAACTTTTATAGTAGTAAATTTGTGTTTTTGAATTGTATTGGAAATAAAGGTAGATATGGGTTTCTATAGGAAAAAGGAAAAATGAGATATAGAGGGTTGAAAACCATTGTTTCCATTATGGTAGAAAAATCCTTGAAGTAGGGCATTAGTAATGAGAAAAAAGTAGGAAGCCGTGGGTAGTTCTGGAGGGAATGTAGCTAGCGATCTGGAGGTGGTTTGCTCACAGTACCATGGAGGGTGGCACTTGCCCATTCCAGTTGCCCAGGCTGGATCCTAAAAGAGACCCTGAAAGGACCCTGGAAGAGGTCTGTGACTGGGGTACACTGAGGAGTATTGCCTCAATAAAGGCTTTCGGTGTAAGACATTCTAGGGCTGATGAAGTAATCGTCCAAAGATGATTTAATTATGTAACAGTGATGATATAAAAACTTGACAGGTTTTATTCACAAGCTAAGTGGTAACATTCAGCTTAAGTAAACAACACCCATATCTTTGAAACTTCTCTCTTATCTTATCCTATATTTTATATTAATTTTTTGCCTTATTTTTCTTTATGATTTTTATCAGCTGTGTATATATTACTTATTTTTACATGACTTTGAGTTTCACCTAAATAGTACTGTATATACCACAGTTATCAATTCATTCTGTTGTTAATGAACTTTTTTCTTCTAAATAATGCTGATCTGAACATTCTTATGTGGATCTTTTGGAGATAGCTTCTAATGTACATGTCTAAGAGTTTATGGTAATCAGAAAAGTGGAATAAACCTGTCCTAAAGTATGTGCATTTTCAGCTTTATGAGATAATGCCAGAATAGGTTTTCAAATGACACTTTCACTGACTATGAGAGTTGTGTTGCATCACTTCCTCACCATAGTTTGCTATTGTCTGTTTAAAAATTCATGGAGCGTAAAATAGTATCTCAGTGTGGTTTCATCTTGCATTTTTCTGATTACTAATGTAATTATCTTTTCACATGTTTATAAGTCATTCACTTTTCTTCTGTGAAATGCTTCATGATATCCTTTGTTCAGTTTTCCATGGGATCATTTGTCTTTTTTCTATTGATTTTCTAGGAGTTCTTTATATATTGCGAACATTAATAATATACCCATTTTTCACAATTCTAAAATTTAAAATATAACCTTGTCCTTCTGAGTGATAAGGAGAGATATCTGCTATGCTGGGGTAAAGGGATATCCATATGAAAAAGAATGAAACCAGGGAGCCAGCAGTTACCGTAATGGCTATGTCGCTGGACTCCCACGTAGTCGACCGTGGTTCGTGTCCCGGACCCGGTGGCTTAAAACTCACGCCGGGCGCGTGTGCGTGCGTGCCCAAGATCCCGGGAGGAGAATGGAGGAGAAGGGATTGCGGCGTGACCATCCCCCCTGGGAGGTGATTTCTCGCTTTCTGTCTCTATGTCTCTCTCTCTCTGTCTGGCGAGCGCACGCGCCCTACAGTGAAAAATCTCTCCAAAAAAAAAGAAAAAGAATGAAACCAGACCCAGTACCTTGTAACACATTTAAATAGCTCAGAATGTATCAAAGTGCTGAGTGTAAGAGCCCAAACTAAAACTCTTAGAAGAAAATATGAATGTCAGTCTTACTGATCATAGATTGATTTAATAGCAGTTTCTTTTTTATGACACCCCTAACCAAGGACCACAACAACTAAAAAAATTTTTTTTAATTGCTGATTCAGCGGAGGCTGGGAATTCTAAGATTACAGTGTTGGCAAATTTATTGCTTGAAAAGGGTCGTCTTGCTTTTCAGACACCCATCATACCATCATGTGCTCACATGACTGAGAAAAAGCAAGCCCTCAGCTCTCTTCTTATATGGATGCTAGTCTCATCATGGAAGTCCTAACCTCATGACCTCATTGAAATCTGATAATCTCCCAAAGGCTTCTTCAAATACTGTCACAGTGTGGGCTGGGGCTTCAACATATCAATAATGGGGGGACACTAACTTATAGTCCCTTAACAGGCCTATACCCAAGAGATCTGAAAAGCTACGTTCCAAGAAAGTTCGTTCATGGAGGTGTATAGCAGCATTAATCACAATAGCTAAGAAGTGGAAACAGTCCACATGTCCAAATGATGAGTGCATAAATAAAATGTAATATATTCATAGAGTGGACTGTTTATCTGTAAAGAGGAATGCAGTATCGATATGTGCTGCAGTGTGAATGAACTTCATGGTCAGTGAGAGAAACCAGTAACAAATGACCACATATTTAATCCAGTATATATGTAGAACAAGCAAATCTGCTGAGACAGAAAATAGATTAGTGGCTTGCCTAGGGCTGAGGAAAATAGCAGTACACATAGGGGAGTAAATGCTAATGGGCATGGGTTTTTTTCAGCAGGGATGGGGAGTAAGAGTGGTCTAAAATTGAATGTGGTGATGACCACACATATCTAAAACTAAAATCCATTTATTTGTATACTTTAAAACTTGTATGGTATGTGAATTATATTGTACTGAAGCTGTTAGTTGAAAAAGCAATTTGCTGTCCAAAATAGCACATGCCACACAAGCCTCTGCTTAGATATCCCTGCTAGAGAGTGTCTGAGAGATTCAGTGCATGCTGTGATGGGTCTAGGCAGTTATGGAAAGACCCTCCGTTCTGCCTTAACTAGAAATGGCTAACAAGCTGGATAACCTGGCAAAATCTTTTAAATTCAGAACCTCTAGTTTAAAGTTTAGTCGAGTTGGGTATTTTCATGGAAACTTTTTTTATTCATAACTTTTACAAATATGTTTTAAAGTGGCATTGCTTTGTCTTTTTGTCTGCTTTTTCTAGTTATCAAATGCTTGTTGGAAAACCTTGAGGAAGAAATATCTCAGGCCAAAAATTCTCTGCTTCGAGCAGCGGCCTCATTTCCAATGTATGGGCGAGTCCACTGTATAACAGCAGCTTTGCAGAAATTACCTCTAAAGTAAGATTTCCACTGCTGTTCCCTGTTACAGATATGTACTCGTTTCTGAGCGTTCACCTTTTACTGGAATATATCCTGGGAAGGGAATGTAGTCTCTTTCATTAAAGAGAATTGGAAATCAGATCTAAAGTCCATTTAGGTGCATATTTTTGTATATCTCAAATAGTCCATGTATTGCACACTTTTGAAACAAACACTTTCAGTTTCTTTTACTTATTTCCATTTTAAAAATGTGATTTCTGCTTTTGGTATAAATTTCCCTCATGTCCTTGTTGCAGCAGCCTGCAGTTGGTGAGTGAGTGGGGTCCTGTGGTGGAGAGACTCCTTTCGATGTCCTACGGGCTTTCTGCTGTGGTGTCCCCAGTCATTCAGAGCTCCTCCCCAGAAGGCCTCATCCCGATGGACACTGATTCAGGTCAGTAAGCAAAGAAGACTACACTGCCATGCTTTTGTTATTATCAATATATTTTCCTCTCTTTTTTTCTTTATCTTTTTTCATTTTATTATTATTTTATTGCTAGTGGGCCTGTGCTCTTACCAGAGAGAGAGAGAGAAAGGGAATGCATTCTCTCAGTAGGATGTGGTCATGGTGCAGTCCTGTCTCATCCGTCTTCCCCATCAGGTTTGTGGTCACACACACACATGCACCTGGCATGTTTCTCCAGGCACTAGAACCAGGATTCAAACTGTGCTTGGCTGTGTGGGGATGGCTTCTTACATTCAATCACTGCACTACAGGGCCAGCCTCTGTTTATTCTTTTTCTAATGATTTCTTTTTTTTTTCTTTTGAAGAAGTTTTTGCTATAGGGTGCATGCGCTCGCCAGACAGACAGAGAGAGAGAAAGCGAGAAATCACCCTCCTGGGGGATGGCCACGTAGCAATCCCTTCTCCTCCATTCTCCTCTCAGGATCTTGGGCATGCATGCACACGCGCCTGGTGTGAGTTTAAGCCACCAGGTCTGGGACTTGAACCGCAGTCAACTACGTGGGAGTCCAGCGACATAGCCATTACGATAACTGCTGGTCCCTCTAATGATTTCTTTGGAGATATGAAAGTTCAGTTGAGGGGAGAAGGTGAAATTGTTGTTAAGAGTTAATTGGATTAATTGTGGGTTAAGTGTTAGACTCCTAAATGACCGGCTGTGGTTTGAGGCCCCGACCCTGTGGCTTGAAAATCAACCCTGGCGATATGTGTGTATACCCAAAATACCAAGAGGAGAATGGAGAAGGGATTGTGGTTTGGCCATTATCCTTGGGGAGGTGATATCCCCGTCTGTGTCTCTCTCTGTCTGGCAAGCGTACATGCCCTGTGGCAAAGGCCTTAAAAAAAAAAGCAAGATGGACAATTGTTGGAATTCAGTCAGAGAAGACAACTTGTTAGGAGTCTGGAATAGGTAAAGGCCGTTTGACATACAAAGACTATTTAGTTTAAAAAAATAGAAAAAAGAAGAAAAAGGAGATACTCATCATGCCCAAAATTGAACTAGGAACTTTGGTTAGCCTTTTCCCTCCTAATTCTTGCCTCTTTGTGAAGAGTCCTACAAAGATCTATTTATGCCTGTTGAGAGTTTAGGGCTTCTTGACATCTCTCCTTTGTCCTCACATAGCTGGGACTACAGGTGTATGCCACTGTGCCTTGCTCTTTAGGGTGGACTGGGAATTGAACCTGGGCCTCCCATGTGGCCTCAGCTCGTCAGTAGTAGCATCCAGCATGTGCTACCACAACTGAGCCCTCTTCTTATCTGCATCTTCTCATCTTACTCTTTGTTGGACATTCTAGAGGCTTCTCACCTGAGTTCCCTGCATCTGTTCTTATCTTCTATATCCTTCTTGCTGCATCTAAAATAATTTTTTTCTACTCGTATATTTCATCATTTTATGTGTAATGTTTACTTAATTCTTGTGCCTTGCCCTATTCTAACTGCCCCTTGTTAGAGTGTGTCAGTGACCTCAGACCGGGTACTAGAAAGGCTTGACTTCTGCTGTGGCTCCAGCCTGTCTCTTACTATTCTTCCTACAGCACTTTCCTTCATAGAATTGTTACAGTTTAACAGGGATCCTGTCACCATTTTCCTTTCTTTTCAGTACAGGGCCTGGTATAAGTATGTACACAGTAAATTTTGTTGATAACGAATCAATCAATGAATGAAAAATTCCTAAATGGGTAGGCTAAGATCCCCTAGGTGGCATATACTGGTGCTACAGTGGATAAGAAGGGATTAGCTGTGAAAGGTATATACTTTTATATAAAGTAACAGTAGTTAACAGCATGGAGTGTTCTTTAAACACACAGAAAATCATGAAGTGAATTTACATTTGGTGTTGAAATAAAGTTTCTAATGCATTTTCAATTGCAGATGTAAAGCTTGTATTAAGAACATGGAGTATATCATAAACATACACTGTACCATACAGTGAAATACCTTGGACTGATAATTAAAGTAACCTAGACTTGGGTGTTTTGCAGAGTAAATGTTAGATTTTGTTCTTTACCAAAAACAAGTTGAAAGATTGGGAATGATTCATGATACAGAGTTCTTGATTTATTTACTTTGGCTGATGTTAGTCTCAATACTGAATTTTGATGTGTTGGTTCTCTTATGTAAACAATACATGGCAACAAGGAACATGTGATCATATAGCTAATATTTGGATCAGGCATGTACCAGTATATTCTGGATGAGAAAATATTTCTGTCACCTGTTCTGGGTAGTGCATGGAGAGTATTATAAAATTCATTTGTTATTAAAAGATTTTAAAATATCAGTTGATCTCAAAACTATCTTTGACTTACAGACCTTAATTCTTTCTTCTCCTGGTTTGGTCAGTTTTCCAATTTTTCCTCCTCCTTATTTGCCATGCATTCCTTGGGAAAAAACCTCCCAGAAAGCCATAAAATGGATGGATACAATTTGTAAAATTTTGTTCTGATCTTTCCTCTTTAAATTTGTGATCTTTGTATGTTATATTTTATTTTATTTTGTTTTATTTTATTTTATTTTATTTTATTTTATTTTATTTTATTTTATTTTATTTTATTTTATTTTATTTATTTTAGAGAGAGTTTATTTTGCTTTTGAGTGCATGTGCTTGCCAGAGAGACAGAGAGAGACAGAAGGCAAGAAATCATCCCTCCCCCAGGGGGGATAGCTATGCCACAGTTCCTTCTCTTCCATTCTCCTCGGGATTTTGGGCACTCACACACATGAACCCAGTATGAATTTCAAGCCTTCAGGCCTGGAAATAGAACTACAGTTGACCATGTGGGAGTCTAGCACTGTTTCCTTGTGTGTTATTTTTTAAATTAGCGTTACTTGGTTACTTGGGGTATATAGTAGGTATGTATACCTATTCTTTGTGTGTTAGATTTCAGATAATACCTGTTTGCTGTTTTTTAAAAACCTGAGCCTGGCTAACTCTTTTTTACCTAGCCATCCATTCATTCCTTCAACTGGTGTTGCTGAACCTCTGTCATGAGGCAGTCTCTGTTCTGGGCAGTGGCAGCTCAGTAGTCAACAGAGTGTACATTCATACAGTACACATTTCAAACCCAGTGAATGCTTGGGGAGTAAAAGGGAAGTGTTATGTAATACAAGGGCTGTAAGTCATACTTAGAAAGCAGTGTATTACATGATGCATTTCAAAGCCAAACACGGAATTTTTATGATATTTCTGTGCTATAAAAGGTTTTCATTGTTGATTTTTTATGCCTTTTTATCTTTTAAATTTTGATAACTTGCATCATAGATAGGAGAATAAACCCTTAGAACAAAATTCATTACAGTTTATTGCACTTCTTTGACATTATTGAGCACTGTATTTGAGATTTATGGGCAGCAGTAAGAAAAACAGTGTAAATGAGATATAGTAACCTTCATCCTATGGACAGTCTGTTAAGAGTTTTTACGTATTTTCCACCTAAGTTACCTTATTTTAAATGTACACTCAAATGTCATGAAGATGCTACACAGTTTTCACTATTATGTACGCCCTGTGAGTCATAGAGCTGTTGCTCTAGTATTGAAAAAGTACAGAACTTTTGAGGGCAGGTGCCCTTAATAGATATCTTCATGTGACGTGGAACTGGGGTTTCATGTGCTCTCATTTCTCTCCCTCAGAGTCAGCAAGCCGTTTACATGTGATCCTGAATGAGATTCAGCCACGAGATACCAATGATTACTTCAACCAAGCCAAAATATTGAAAGAATGTGATAGCTTTGACTTGGAGGACTTGAATGCCAGTGTGTCAAAGATTGCTGCTTCTGCAGAAGCTGAAGGTAACATTTATAAAATTGATACTATAATCAGCATGTAAGTAACAAGTAAAATGTACAGAATACATTTTTATAGCATAAACCAGAGGCTACAAGATCTGTGTAGAAGATTTCTAGAAAATAAGTATTTTTTAAAATTTGGTTTTAGGAGTTAGTTTTAGGAGTGAATTTATAAGAGGTTTACTGGAAAAAGATGTGCCCCAATTCAACATTTGAAGTGCTACAACAGAAAGTCTCTGAGTGCTAGCACCTGCCTTGCCAGCCCATATGTTTAAGAACAGGGATTCCTGATGAACCTGGGTTTGGGCAGCGATCACCTTCTCCCAGCAATATGGTTAGTTGTCTCTTGTGGGAATTCTTAAAGGCAAGCCACCTTTTTAAGGAGTTGAGCCTTATACTGAGCCTACAGAATTGAATTTCTTACAGTTGTTACTGAATTTTATGTTACGTTGTAAAAAATGATCAGAAGAGTAATTTCTTAGTGATTTAGTATGTCTACATTCTCCACTAGATGGGGATATTGTCTTGCAGAAAACTCTGATTCTATTTTTTAAAATTAAAATAGCATATGAATGCTTATTCTAAAGTTTCAAACAACATAGAATTGCGTAAATATGGATTAAAAACAAATTAAAGTCTTCTTCCATTTTCTCCCTAATCTCTCTTCTTCCCTCTTTAATGTATGTCTGTTCATACCTATTTTCTGTAGCTAGGTGTATGTGAATTTATC